ACTTTTCCTGTTGTGTCTATTTTGTTTATCTATGCATTTTTTGTTATGCTGCTATATGGACTTCCTTGAATCGTATTAAGATTTTTTTCTTCTGTTGTTTATTTGGTATTTTGTATGCTCTTCAAGCAATAAAAAATAGCTATTTTTGTCAGTGAAATCCACTTCTACGGATATCTACTACAAACGATTTTCCTCAACTCACATCTGGCATGTTTGAAGGGAGGTTTGCAGATGGCTCGTTATGAAACTCCATTAAATCGACGCAATAAATAACTAAGGTTTATAGTAAACAATCGAGTCGAGGAAGTGAAATCAGATCCTCTTCCGCTTCCGGTGACTTCGGAACGCTCGCGACGTTGTCATGGAGAACAAGGACGAGCGTCGCGTTCCGTCGTAAACATGGGATACAGACAACAACAACCGTGCGATCTGCTCGGTTTCAATCGAGACGAGGCCTTTTGGTGACACGTCGTGTTTATGTTATGCATGTGAAAAAGCAAACGGTGTCTAGTTTAACAAATTGGCGATGTTTACTAACTAGTCAAGATGTGGAGTCGTGGAGGAAGGAGTTCGGCTCTGGAGCGGGCGAAGGCTCAGCTCTCTGGACAGAGAATCTCGAAGGACAAAAGAGATGTGGTTAGTGTGTGTTACACAATTGCTCTGCATTCGACATGAAACCAAAAAGAATGCTGTTTACATTGTGTTATTGTACACGATTCATCACGTTAACTCTTTGTAATAAATCTGAAACGACTTTACTGTTCTGCTGACGTCACCGAGGCCGCGCAGTATTATCAATATACAGATAGCTTTTTAGCCCGTTTCCGCCACTGAATAACACTGAATTAATCTATTGTTAACAAAATTCACAGAGTTGTGAGATATAAACTCGCAATTGCGAGATACAAAGTCAGAATTGCGAGAACAAAGTCAGAATTGCGAGACAAAAAGTCAGAATTGCGAGAACAAAAAGTCAGAATTGCGAGAACAAAAAGTCAGAATTGCGAGATATAAAGATATAAAGTCAGAATTGCGTGATATAACGTCAGAATTTTGACTTTTTTTCTCAGAATTGCGTGATAGAAACTCACAAATGCGAGATATAACGTCAGAATTGCGAGATAAAAACTCGCAATTCTGAATTTTTTTCTCAGAATTTGGAGTTTATATCTCGCAACTGACTTTTTTTCTCGTAATTCTGACTTTTTTCACATAATTGTTAGATAGAAACTCACAAATGCGAGATATAAAGTCAGAATTGCGAGAAAAAAGTCAGAATTGCGAGAAAAAAGTTCAGAATTGCGAAATATAAAGTCAGAATTGCGAGATATAAAGTCAGAATTCTGACTTTTTTCACATAATTGTGAGATATAAAGTCAGAATTGCGTGATATAATGTCAGAATTGCGAGATAAAAACTCACAATTCTGACTTTTTTCTCGCAAATCTGACGTTTTTCACATAATTGTGAGATATAAACTCAATTGCGAGATATAAGTCAGAATTGCGAGATATAAAGTCAGAATTCTGACTTTTTTCTCAGAATTGCGTGATATAAACTCAAACGCGAGATATAAAGTCAGAATTTTTGGGGGGGAAAAAGACTGATATGTTCTCAGAATTGCGAGTTTATATCTCACAATTCTGACTTTATAACTCGCAATTCTGAGATAAAAAGTCCCAATTACCTCTCTTTTATTTTTTATTCAGTGGCGGAAATGGGCTTCCATACACTGTTGAAAGTAATGTTGTCTTTGCAAAATTTGTATGAATAATGCAGTATTTTAATGCCGTTTAATGTTATTGTAACAAAGGTTAGGGCAATCATAGCACATAATAATGATAGATTTAAAAATAAATAAATAGAAAAAACAGCATTACATGAGGAGATCATGTTACCGACTCCGTTATTAAATGTCTGTGGTGTGTTGCAATAACTCTTGTTTACCCAGGAAAACTCTGGAAAATTCGTGTCACTGTCCAGGCAGATGCAATTCCAGGATTTGAGCGAAGTCTTTTCGGCATCAGAGAGTGAAAACCAGGACCCTGCGAAGACTACGACATTGGAGAGTTTCAGCTTGGGTGGTGGGAGCCGATTTCTGAAGAAGACCTCCAAAGATGCCACTGGAGACAGAGTGTCATCTGCTCCTAGAAGAACTCCTGCAGGAACGTTCATACCTCAAAGCAGTTCACAAAGCGTAGCTTTGAGTAGGCTAGCGCTCATCGAGAACCGCATCAGAAACCAGAAAACCAAAAGCGACGGCCCTAGTATCGATACAAACCTCTCAGAACCACAAGAGACACGTATATCTTTACAGTCCAGCAGTGATCTGAGCATGACAGGGAATCGCTTTCTAAAGAAGAGGACTGTGTCCGCACCTCGAGAGCAGAAGGTTCCTGAGAGAACATCTGGTCTGAATGAACATAAAGAAAGGAGAGTCAGTTTAGACAGCGACGAACAGGACATGCGAAGACTTCTAGGAGATTCTTTTAGCTTATCAGAAGGTTCCTTGCAAAATGCAGTGAGACAAAAGAGTCCTCAACCAGTTAAAAAGGTATTATAACAGTAAAATTGTTTGACCCCAGTTTACTCTCCTTTGCTATCATTCTAAACCAATATGACTTTCTTCTTCTCCAGTTATACAAGAAGAGCAGTGAAAAGTCCACCGTATCTTCGCCAACTACTGAAAGACATAAAGTTCTCACCCATCAAAGTCTTTCTCCTGCCCCCAGCAGGCCTGAGTCACGCATGGTCCAGTTTACTGAACATTCAGTGTCCTCTGAAACGGATCACAGTGAGATCCGGTCTTTGGACGATCTTTTTCCTGTTGCTGCGGCACCTGATTCTGATGATACTCTGAGCGAGAGGAGTGCAGTATTGGATGGTAAAACACCTGTGGATTCAACATCTAGCAATCATCTGAAACCTTTCTCAACTATTGTTAAATTTAATTGTTCACTGTGTTTTAAAAACATTTTCTCTTGATGATCTACCCACAGATTTTAAACTGAACGTAATGACACTGGATGATCTTGCCCCTATACCATTTGAAGCAGCTGAAATCTCACAAGAAAAGGTGTGTTGAACATGTCATATCGGAACATAATTTACGCAAGATTTTTTTAAAGCTGAAAAACATTGTCTTTAATCACAGAAAGAAACACAAGCCAGACAGGAAGACAGAAACAAGAAGTCATCCAACATTTCAAATGTTGCTTCACCACCCACGCCAGAAGGGGCCTCGGCTGCCTACGAGAGTGATTTTGAGAGCGAGATCCCATCTGAGACGCTAGAGAGCGCCAGTGAGATCTCCGAACTTCTCACAGATAAAGACAAAGATGCCTCACTGATCAGCGAGGCCCAGTACAGCTCATACAAATCCCAGGATGGCGATGACGATGACCATAATTTATCACAGTCATCATCATCCAGTCGCCACTCAGACTCTTCCTCGAGGTCTACCTTATCCAATGCGACAGTCACACATGGCCCCAGTCCTAATGGTCACGTGAAGGAGGTTGCCGTACAGACTCAGATGGATGGACTAAATTACACATGGTCTTCTGGTAGGTTTACATTATCCGATATTTCAGTCAAGTCAAACTCACGAAACCCATCAAGAACATGTCTAAATCATATTTATATTTATAAATTATAGGTTATAGTTTAGGACCACATTCATTCTTGTTCTGACTGAAATGTATTTGGGAGAATCTTACGAAATCCATCAAGAGCATGGATAGATCATATTTAAAGCTCAATTTTTGGGGGGGCGTCCCTCGGGGTTAGAGTTTAGGACCACTTTCATTCTTGTTTTGAGGAAAATGTATTTTGGGTGAATCTAACAAAAACTGTCAAAACATGTATAGATCATATTTGAATCATTTCTTTGGCGCGTCCCTCGGTGTTAAGAGTTTAGGACCACTTACATTCTTGTTTTGAGGAAAATAGATTTGGGTGAATCTAACAAAAACTGTCAAGTACATATCTAGGTCATATTTTGTCTTAACAGCAAAAGAAAAGAGAATATTTGTTGTGCATCATGACTATTTTCATGACGTTTAAGCACATTTTCCTCCAAAATTCCCATTACCATACTGGCAAAAAACCTTGAAAGACGTGTTTTTGTGAGATCCACCCATTTATGTCAGCATTTTTTTCAGGCATGGCTGCTGTTGGTCCGTCACTGGGCATGACATACGTGGACCCTACTCCAATAGCCAGTCACACAGTCAGCGCTGAAGCCATCGAGAGTAAGAATTACAATATGATCTACACACTTTACGTTTGAAGAACTCTGAACCTAGAAAACATGAACATCTCAAGTGGTTACTATAAACAATCAGAACATTTTAGTCACTGAGAAAAATCTTCTGCTTCCTAGTTGAACTAGCTCATTGTCTTCCATGCTAACAGGTTTGACGGCATACAGTCCTGCCGTTTTTGCACTCAACGACATGTTGCGGCAGCAGTTGGCCCTTACTAGAGGATTCATCGACTCCACCAGACGTCATTACGCATCAATGATCGAGTCACTGGGACCTGCCGACTACAAATACACCACACTAGAGGATACTAAAGAGGTAAGATTTTGACGAGGAAAGAAAATGAGGCTGTGAGGGTTAGACGTACAACTGTTGTAACAAATTTATATATATCAAAACATTTTTACTTATATATTTCTTTCATAATATCTTTAGAGTTTGCTAACAGGACTTTATTTTTGTTCCTAGTTTATTCGTGCTCACAGGCCACCCAAACTGAGTACTGAAGATGCTTTAGATGAAGTTCTACAGGAAATGAGAGACTATCATTACAGTTGAATAAACAGATGATCAACGTTTTGGATGCATCATCCATAGATTAATAACAGCCAAAACTTTTCAATCATTGTTCATGCAATAACGTGCCTAAAATAAACCAGCATTTTTCAGTATCTGTTCATTCTGCTTCCCTTCAATCATTCATGCATAAATGAAATGTTTACATAAACACGGTGCCCTTTTTCAAACATCTTTATTTTGCTTGTACAGAGTCTCAGATTAATCAAAGCAAATGCTTGCAATGACACGGACAATTTCTGTGAGTTACAATATGATGCACTGATGCATTTTACTACAGAAAGAAACTCGAGAGTGACGAGAACATCCAAACGAATCTGAAAAACAGCTTTATGACAACTACAGTAAAAAAAAAAACAGATCACGTGTGACGGGTGATCACTCTGTGCTGGAGGGCTCCTGCGGGTCTCTGGTTACTGAGGACAAAAAAAAGATTTAAACATACATACTTGGTTATAATTAATAGTAAGTTCAATACATATGGTTAATAGTTTGATCAAACCCCTAACCCTAATTATTAGCATCAATATTAGTGATGTTTGACTTGGAAAACAGGCTGCTCCTAATTTTTAGGTCTCTATTTTACAAACACAAATACCTTTTTCTCGTGCTTTCATCCTTGCGACAAAATTGTAGCTTTTGTTTCGCCTGTAGTTCACGTACGGGTCGTCCAGTTGGACTCCAACTCCTTTATACTGATCCCACTTGTCCCGGATGTCTCCTCCTTTGATGGGGTCTTGAATGCCCTGTTCTTTAGCACCAAGACCTCCTGATCCACTCCAGCCTGCACGACGAACAGGAAGAGATTTAGCACTGGATCAACAGAAAGATCAGTTCATGGCGGTGTTTGTTGATCACTTACCCATCTTCATGAGCATCTGATGGCCTTTGTTTTCTTCACCCAGCCTGAGGTCGACGGGTAACGCAGCAGGACCTGAACCCAAACCAGATGTGGAGCTGCAGAGAGAGACCGTATTTCATGTTAACGTCATGCTTAATCGCTATTTGGTTTGGGTACATTTTATTAAATTTATTAGGTGAAAATCATTATTTGGTCAAATCTGCATAAATTTTTTTATGTCAGATGGGACGACAGCAATGATTATACCACCAATTATAATGGTTTACAATTTTTTAATCATGCAGCACAAGAAATGTAGCTTTAGTCCTGATATTTGACTAGCGAAGGTGAAAGTAAATGTGAGAAGTTGTAACAAAACAAAAAAAAAAGTCATAGACACTGCAATCTGGATGGGATACATTTTTCATATTTTTTTCAGCAAGCACCGCAACAAGATATTTTGTTTTTGTTACAATATTTAACTTAAAGTTCAAAATAAATGTGGAGAAGATTTGTTACCAGAAATACAATAACAGATTTTGTATTGGGATTTCATGGGATGGGATTAGATTTAAATTTAGGAGTCCCTAATGAGTAAAAAATAGGTAATTTGCTCCGTAGTTTTTAATTTGTTTTTTATTAGAAATTTCACTAAATAATGTTTTTAAAAAAAATTTATAATGAAAAATATAATATTAAATTATTTAATAAAAATTTAATTTTAATTCATCCAAATAAACCTTTGTGGAAAAAGCTGATACAGATGAGATCACAAAGCAAAAATCTGCTTTTCAAATGTGAACTGGACTTACGGTGGCGTCGGACTGCGTGATTTTGCAGCGTGGCGACGCTTGTCTGGAGATCGTGACCTGGAGCGAGATCTGGAGCGGGAGCGACTTTGGGATCTGGATCTGGAGCGACTCCTGCTCCTACAGGAGAAAGTCAAAAAATGTGTTCAACAACTTCCTGTGGCTGGAAATAATGGTTTAAATGTCAAAGCAGATATTTTTTTGGGATACCTAGAGTGAGATCTGGAGTAGGAGCGAGAGCGAGAACGAGAGTGGGATCTGGATCGGGATCTGGAGCGGGAGGATTTGGAAGACCTGGAGCTGGAGCGTGATGTGGATCGTCCTCGGCTGCGTGACCGACTGCGGGAGGGACTTCCTCGGGTGCTGCAAAAAAAAATAAAAATACCAACGAGGAAACAATGGGAATTACTTCTGTTTGGTCACATCTGAATTCCAGTGTCATTTTAGTATTGGTAGTAGGAATGTCAACGATTAATCGACGATCGATAATAGCTGGCGATTAAAAATAAGAATTCTTACAACTTGTTAATTCGTTCCTAGGACTTACTAATTTTGTGGCCACGGTCCATGTTTCATTCATTTGTTCCCAAGTTAACTCACGATTTAACTAAAATGAGGGAACGAACGAATTCTTAATTATTTCTCTTGTAAACAAAGCTTTGTACCTCACGTGTAATATTCACGTAAACAATGTTTCATATGAGCACCGCCGGTGGAAGCGGTTATCATGACCGACCACGTGCTGTAGTTACGTTTGGGATTATTTTATTTTAAGTGGCAATAATGTTAATTGCAAACATTGCTATTGTGTTTTGAAATACAATAACGAGCACCATGAAACCATTTTAGAAAGGCATATTCAGCATCTCCGTAACAAGATAGGAAACCACCAACAATAACCTCGGTTTAAAGTAAAATGACCCTCACTTCATCAAATGATTTTAATCACATCTATTCATTTACAATCCTACTACTATGCTTTTATTTAGACTAAAATATAGTATACTATAATAGTATTTAGTTTGCATTTTAATTTTTAGTAATTTTAGTTTACTATTGTAGTAAAGTAGTAATATTATAGTTAGGGTTAATTTTTTTATTTTAAGCTTTCAATTTTTTTTCGTTTTTTATTAGTTTTTTATATTAAGTTTTTATTTCAGTTTTAGTCTTAGTAAAGGCAACATTTGTCATTTTTGTGTAGCTTAAGCTTTTTCAATTAACATTCACATTTTATTTCAGTTTTAGTTAAACTAACAAAATTAATAGTGTAATAGTTTTTTTGTTAGAATACATTAAAACACCCCACCTGTTGCGTTTGTCTTGGTCCTTTTTACGCCTTGCTCTCATTTTGGCCCGGAAGAACTCATACAGACCATTCTGTTCCCAACCCTCACTGGAAAAATCATCATTTTCAGTTATTACAACTGAAGTATTGAATAAAAATGACCAAAAAATGGCTACAGCTCAGGAGCAGTCACACTGGCGTCACCTGTTTCTGGGTCTGTCGTGAGACGGCGGGCTGTAAAACGCCTCCACTGCGGCCAGCAGACGCTCACTGGGAGGCATCGGGGGCGGCAGACGGATGTCTTTGGGGTCCAGAGGCTTATAATCGTGATCTTCAAGCTATCATCAAAGAGAAAGTATCACCTTTAGCATGAGACTGACAAAAAACTAACTTTCTCAAGCTGACGTCGAATGCAAAATCACCTTCACAAGCGGCGCCATGAGTCCTGCGGGAAGGTCGAAGTAGGGCACGTTGGGAACCAGGCTGGGGTCGTCCTGACTGACGTGAGCCGGGGTCTGGCGCCGCATGTGTGGCGCCTGACCGTTAAACCCGTGAGGAGGCGGTCCGAAATCGGGATGCTGGTTCCCGCCCCACGGAGGAGGATCAGACATCCCGGGAGGGGGAATCCTCTGGTTCGGGTGGTGATGAGGAGGCGGACCGATCTCTGATATGAGAAGAACAATACAATGTACGACATACCTGGAAAGTTGAGTCCTACTTACGCCAAGTCTAAAATTTCAGCACACAAAAATAACAAAACATGCTAGGCAAAATTGTACAATGCAACTATAAGCTCTACTAAATATCTGACATTTCTATTTTCTATTACTATTTTATATTTTTTACATTCTATTTATTTTTAATCAAATTTTTTATGTTTTATACAAAATTAGAATTTGTGATAAAAAAAAAAAAACGTGCAAAATCTGAAAACAAAATTTGCTTATTTGTATTTTTTCACTTGTTTAAAACGAAGGCAGAAAAAAAAACTTTAAGTATTAAAATATTACACCGCAATGTGTTTTTTTTTTATTTTGTAAAACAGTTCAATTAAAATATAAAAATACGCATCTATTTTATTTGGAAAACAGGTTAATTTAAACATTAAATTATTATACAACAATATGCGTCTTTTTTTTTCTTGATTTATTTATTATTTATTAATTTTATTAATAATTAATTCAAGTATTTCAAGGCTACTTTTTATAATAACTGTAATATTCAAAACAGTGTTTTATTATTTAAACTATTAATAATAGTATTTATTAATATTTTGAATTAGGTTTAATTTTTTGTTATATATTTTCATTTTAGCTTAAGTTTACAAATTTTTGTTGTTTCTTATATTTATATTACATTTTTAAGCTTTCCTTTTAGTAATTTTAGTACAGTATTACAGTATTTACTAGTATTTTGAATAAGGTTTCAACTTTTATATTTTCAGAGTTTTTTATTTTCATTTTTTCCATATATCCCTATTACAATAATGCTGTAAAATAAATAATTACAATAACTGTACTGTAATTTAATAATCATAATTTTATTTTACAGAACAGTGAAATTACAACACATTTATGTCTACATTTCTTAACTTTCAAACGTTAAACCTCAGATTTACACAATTCGCATGGGTAGAAAATGTGTCAATACATATAAATGTGGAAAATCCGCATCCTCCTATATTAGTTTCTGACAAAACTTTCTCATCTAGTTGCATCAAAACATTTTTGTGAATTATTGAAACACAAGGACAGCGAATCTGTGCAAATTTATTCCACAAAATCACATTCTTACAGTATTTTTTGCATTAATTTCAACAACTTACGTAAATACTGCTTAACTAATAAATAAAATAAACTAATTCTGCGTACGTGTAACTCTAGTAGTTTTCCAAATAGTAAAGCTGAGGTCTCACCTCCTGGGAAGTCTCCCTGCGGGTAGTCGAATCGGTGCGGTGGATACGGCGGCCGCTCAAAGTGATGCCGCGGAGGAAACTCGTCCTGCATGAAGCGCGGCGGGAAGCGTCCGAAGTTGTGTGGCGGCAGCGGCGGCTGGTTGAACGGTGGCGGCTGCTGGTGTGGAGGGAAGGGCCCGCGAAAATGTGGAGGACGCTGCATGCGGAAGGGAGGCTCCCTCTGGCCCCACGGTGGCGGCTGATCCGGCTGGCTGCTCCACGGCGGCTGGTCGAACTGGCCGCTCCAGGAGGGCGGTGGCTCGTTCTGGCTACTCCAGGGGCCTGCGGGGCCCCCGTCCCGAGGGCCGCTCCAGTTGGGGTCCCGCTGCTCGTTCCACATGCCCTCGTGGCTGTTCCAGGGGGGCGGGGCTTGAACTGGGTCGAATGGTGGCTGGAGGCGGAAACATTGAATATGTTAGCATCGTGGCTGTGTTGATTAATTACATATTGTCAAATAAAACTTTTAAAACGGTCTTAGACAAAATGAATTAAGTTCATCATTTTATATATTTTCAGTTTTTATTTTCATTTTAGTTTTACTATTTTTTTTAATATTTAAAAAATATTTTATTTTAAATATTTATATTTAGTTTTTATGTATTTTTATTTCAGTTTTAGTATTACTTATTTTAACTATAGTATTATACTAGTATTATCCAGAATTTTTGGAGCAAAAAATTACTACAAGCACTATTTTTTTTATTTGGAAAATAGTTTTTTTATTTTTTATTAAAGGGGTCATAGGATGGCCATTTTCCACAAGTTGATATGATTCTATAGGGTCTTAATGAAAGGTCTGTAACATAGCACATAACATTTCCCACAGAATTATGCTCTATTTGTGGCGGCATATATATGCAAATTCATTCTCTGCCAGCAGGAGGCGCTTAGAGCGGGAGAGATAGAGGTTTCCCCGGTAACGGCTGTACACAACGCAGGGCTTCGTTCACAAACACTGCTTTATCAGACATTACATGCAAGATGAAATGAAAATGACATCCAAAATTTTCTGAAGACTGTCGGTTTCCTTCAGAGATACAGTGATATTAAAACACCCGCACCGGGTTTCGACTTTGACACGTGCAGTGCTCATGTTTATTCAACGAAGTCAAAGCCTTTTGGAAAATCCGTTTGTGGTGGTCAGTTTTTATATTGTGGTGGGCCGCAATGGTTTTGGCCGCAAACACCTTTTTTTACCCTGTCAAAAACAGCTCTTTTCAGAGCAAGCCGTTTTGTGGCATTTTCCTTTAAATGTTAATGAGCTCTGCTGACCCCGCCCCTCTCTTCCGAGCCACTCTCAGAGAGACTGTTTACTTTAGCTGCATTCATCGTGAAACTTGCTAATTAGCACATTATTAGGAAAGGCGATTTGCAAAGATTTATTAAAAAACCTTACACTCACTTCTTCTGTAGGTGAAGCTGGATCACGAATGATTCAAGCGAACATAGACGCATTTATGTAGATCGGGGGCGCATTCTCTTCAAAAACAAACGTAATCCACTGCGTCTTCAGCGGCTCAGATGTCAGGAGTAAACGACGACTGCTATGTTAATTATTACATCCAACAACAGAACACCTCAATTGCTTGTTAGGAGTCATTCTTGTCTACAACTCCTCCGGCGGTGAAACAATGATGGACTGATGACAGTCACTCAGGGCGTGTGTAAGACGCCAGTCGAGTGTGCTGAAACGCTACTGTCAATCAAACTATCGTGGGAGGGGCCTGTTTTTGTGACGTCACACAGACAGGTATCTGAGATCGGCTCAATTTGAGAAAGGGGTAAAGATTAGTAGATTAAAAAAAAAAAACACTGGGTGGATTTTTATCATTATAGGGTGATTGTGTACACACACTGCCAACACACATTTCAGTTCAAACAACTTGTAAAAGTGCATGTAGCATCCTATGACCCCTTTAATTTAAGACTTTAAATTTAGGTAATAATATATTCACATTTAAATATAATATATATATATAGTACATCTAATATTTAATAAAATTGTAATTAGTAACAATCTATTACACTACATTTGAGGTAATATTAGATTACTTTTAGATTACTCCTAACCTAACTCGTTTATCACATTGATTTAAATAGGATACTCTTGTTCCATATTGATATAAAAATACAAAGAGTTTTCTGGATTTTCTGAAAAAGGGTTGTGAATGAAACGCAGGGGGTTCATACATTGATTTTAGAATTAAAAAATTGAAAGCTAGAAAAAATTAAGGAAAAATCAATTATTTACTGCCATTGTGTGAGTAAAATGCAACCAATAAAATAGTAACTGTAATCTGATTATGAGCATTTTAAAACTAATTACAAATATGTAATATTTGGAGTCTGATAATGCAGATCACTTATAATCAGTTCCTGAGTTAGTATTAATACACAGCTGCAAACAGCGTAAGATCTGTGAGATTTTACAGCATTTCATTCACTTACGGGTTGTTGCGGGTTCCACGCTGGCATGTTGTGCTGCGGCTCAAACCAGCCGGGTTTAGAGGAGGGAATGTCGGACGACGCTGCTGGGTTCGAGTCTGATGGTCGGTTCTGAGGGCCTTCGTAATCAGCGGGTGGGGGACCGGCCCCTGGAGGCTTCAGATCTCCTGATGACATCATACAAAATATCAATTTCCACATTACAACGAGCCAAGAATGACATCATAATTAATCACATATAAGCAAAAATAACATCATACGTGACCCTGGAGCACAAAACCAGTCATAAGGGTCCATTTTTCGAAATTGGGATTTATACATCATCTGAAAGATGAATAAATAAGCTCTCCATTGATGTATGGTTTGTTAGGATCGGACAATATTTGGTAGAGATGCAACTATTTGAAAATCTGGAATCTGAGGGTGCAAAAAAATCTTTAAAATATTGAGAAAATCATCTTTAAAGTTGTCCAAATGAAGTCCTTAGCAATGCATATTACTAATCAAAAATTAAGTTTTGATATATTTACGGTAGGAAATTTACAAAATATCTTCATGGAACATGATCTTTACTTAATATCCTAATGATTTTTGGCATAAAAGAAAAATCGATAATTTTGACCCATAAAATGTTTTTTTGGCAATTGCTACAAATATACCCCAGCGACTTAACACTGCTTTTGTGCTGTCACATTTATAGTCAAGAAAGACAACAAAGTGTCTGTTTTAAAGTGTAAGTGTATAAATGTTTTGTCTATTTATGTAAAGCACCACTGTAGTCATAAATAATCCTAAAGAGGGTTAAAGGGGTCATATGATGCGATTTCAAGTTTTCCTTTCTCTTAGCATGTCAGGGAGACGCTGTGTGTTTCAGTGCGAAAGCAAAAGCACTTTATTTGGCCTTCCGAAAGTAGATGCATTTAGGAATCTTTAAGATTACTTACAACAGAACAGCAATGCATTTTATGGACGTTTCGTGAACGTCCATAAAATGAATGAGGAGGATGAGGAGATGAGGAGGTCATTCTGACTTTTGTTATTAGTTTAAGTATTTGCTATTGACTGTTCAAATGCGGAGTTTTGCGCATCGTGTGTGTGTGTGTGTGTGCGCGCGAGAGAGAGAGCGTCACATCAAAGTGAGTCAGCTGTCTTAACCGTGGCTTGTGTACTGCACACATACCAGCTTCATCACTGTGTCTGTCACACGACTCTGTTCCCCTTTCGGGCTCTGTCTTTGCATTTATTTTGAAAGATGAAGCTGGCGATTATGGTAAGGGACGTTACATTTCTGACGAGTGCTTGCGGTGTTCGGCCAATCACAATGCACTGGGTCAGCTGGCCAATCAGAGCAGACTGCGCTTGTCGGAAGGAGGGGCTTTGTAGAAAACGAAGCGTTTGAGAGAGGCGGGGCATAGAGGACCTACAATAATGTACAGTATTTGAAAAATAATGTGTTTTTTGAACATTAAAGCATGTCAACATATTCTGTTACACCAAATACACAAAATAATGATCTTTAAAAAAGCATCATATGGCCCCTTTAAATAAAGCAAACTGGAGAATAAATGCACATGATGTAAAAACTGACATGCAAATTGGGGTGTTATTTTTAATGTTTTTGAATGTCTCTTCTGCTCACCAAGGCTGCATTTATTTGATCAAGCATACCATAAAAACAGTAAAACTGTAAAATATCATTAGAATTCAAAACTGCTTTCTATGTGAAATTGTAATTTATTTCTGTGATGCGCAGCTGTATTTTCAGCATCATTACTCCAGTCTTCAGTGTCACACGATCTTCAGAAATCATTCTAATATGCTGATTTGCTGCTCGAGAAACATTTCTGATTATCATCAATGCTGAAAACAGTTGTGCTGCTTCATATTTCTGTGGAAACTGTGATACATTTTATTTTTCAGGATTCACAGATGAACAAAGTTCAAAAGAAGAGCATTTATTTGAATTGGAAATCTTTTGTAACATTATAAATGTCTTCACTGTCACTTCTGATCAATTTAGTCCTTGCAGAATAAAAGCATTAATATCGTTCTAGCCCCCAACTTTTGAACAGCAGTTTTTCCATAAGAGACTTTGTCTGCATGTGATGTCAAATACGCACTATTTGTTTATTTTATTTGGAAAAGAAAATTAAAGAATTTAAATATATGTAATAATATATTCACATTTAAATATAATATATAATGTATATATAGTACATTTAATATTTAATAAATTGTAGGTTACTGATTTCAAATTACATGATGAAAATTGTAATTAGTACCAATCTAATACGCTACATTTTAGCTAATATAAGGTTACTTTTAGATTACTTCGGACTTAAATCGTTTATCACATTGATTTGCATGTGATGTCACATGTTTTTTTTCCAGGTTGACCTAAAACTTATTTCAGATAGTTTCCATACATATATAATCTTCATTTAGTTTAAGATAAAGCTCTAAAATTGCTACAACTAAAATTAAAATAAATTAAAAGATTTAATACATTAATAGAATGTTTTAACACATTGCTAGCAAGTTTGAACATGTTAACATGATTGAACAGGTTAGCAACATGCTAATCCATGCTAGCGACACGTTTTAACACATTGCTAGCCTGTTTTAACGTGTTACAAACATGATTAGCACATTGCTAGCATGGATTAACATGTTGTCCTAGAATAGTCGTTAAGCTTTGCTAGTGACAGACAGCTTAAATACTCCATGTATGTTATTGTGCAAAAGTTTTCACCCCCTCAATGAAAGTCTATGGGACTTTACGTTGTTTTGATTGTCCATTTAATGAAAACCGTAAGTCCGATCAGTTAGAAAAGATACAGCAACCCGAGTCAGACCAGTCTGAAGGTCTGATCCAAGTTTGGTGGTTGTAGCCTGAAAACTCTAGGAGGAGATACCGACTAAATTTAGCCTCACAAGAAGGATTAATCACAATATTACTGTTTCTACTGTATTTTTTTGATAAAATAAATGCAACCCTGGTGTGCAGAAGAGCTTGATGTACCTGTCTGAGGCTGAGCAGGTGTTGCTCCTGCTGCTGGAGGTTCCACTGGCTCTGCTGGATGAGCTCCTCCACAGACGGCGTGGTTGGCGGGATCGGCGGCGGCGGGAGCATCGGCAACGTCGCGGAAACATCGGCGACCTCATTACCTGGAGGTTTACAGAGCTCTGCGAATCACAAGAACACGCAGATGCAAAAAACATCACGCCTACTGTACGCTGAGGCAAACATCTGCCTGCCGGTGCGTCCAGATCTGACGGATGTGTGTGAACGGTCACACTGGGAAGTGCTACGAGAGGAAGCGTGACTCTCTTTGGAATGGACGTTCCCAGAGCAAAGCCATTCAGATCAGAGAAGCATGCAGGAAATCACTCATGCTGGTTTGTTCCCCTCTGATTTTCCATGTCTTGCGATAGTCGCATGACAAACTCGGGAATACGAAAACATTAAGCCGAGGAAAGCATGGGGATATGACGTAGTAAACTGACTGCAAATAACTGAGGGGAAAAGAAATCAAGTAAAGAACCCACAAAGAAAAATGACTTGCTTGCGGCTTCTGAAAATAAAACTGAAAATCTGAATCAAGATTTATATAGAATGCTTTCATTTGCAAACAAAAGTAAACCTAAAATCACGCTGCACAAGTTTAGATGTCATGTATGCAGCAAAAAAACACAGGGAAGTAACATTCTTTGCTTTAAAGGAATAGTTCAACCAAAAATGTAAATTTGCAAACAATTTACTCACCTTCAGGCCAAATAAGTTTAAGCTGAAGCACCAAGATTACAAAAAATAAATAAAAACTAAAACTAATATAAAAATATATTAAACCTAAAAAAAATTATAAAAAGACCATAAATTTAACAAAAATAAAATGATAAAAGCCAAATAAAAACGATAAGTGTATTTAAATATTACTAATATAACACTGGTTAGCAGAAATAAATGCGACGGATGCTCTCCACTGGTTTATTCACGTACGCTGCTGCTGTTCGATGGCCAGCTTGTATTTGTAGTAGCCGAAATATTCTCCTCCGAACAGAAACGAGAACTTGGGGTTCTCCTTCTGCTTCTCCATGGTCATCTTCTCAAACTCCGGTCCATTTCGGGCGACAAACTGGGCCAGTTTGTCAATGACATTACGCAGCTCTTGATCTGATGGGGAAAATATAGGACATATTTTTAAAATGTAACAGTATTATTTTTAGAGAATATGACTAGCCTAATTATTTTAATATATTTTACATTTTTTTAAGTATTACTAAATATGTGTGGTCTTTTTCAAAGTGTAAGAGCTTTAAGACATTTCCCTTCATGTTGTTTTGTGATGACTGTAACACCAGCTGTCCACAGTTTTAATGTAATAAATATAATATTTGTACTATGTTGGTCACCATTGACATTACTGTAAAAGCTTTATATAAAGACAGTGAATGCACCTGCAATCGATTTAGCAATTTCACTAGCCGTCTGACCCACACTAGACAGTCAACACAAGCTACAGAGCACTTAGATGCTGATCTGATGAGTTAATTGCGTGTTTATTAGTGTAAATAATGTCAGTTCACACGCGTTCGTGCTAATCACTCAGTTACCTTCTGGCGGTGTGGCAATATCCATTTTCCTCAGGATTACACGCTCGTGCTAGACCAGGAATTCATTTATGACACATGACGCTGAAGTGTGGAACAAAATAAATCGCTTTTAAACGGCTGCGAGCATTATATTAGCATAGCTTTGTTGTGTTTCAGTGCAAGACGAAGCGACCGGAAACCGAATCCTGACGACTTCCTCTGACGAGCGAGACGCTCAGAAGGTCCGTGACGTCACAGCGTCGCCTGCCGTTCGGAGGCCGTATTATTATGGAAACGCTCTTCTTCTTCTTCTTCTTCTTCTTCTTTGAGGTTTAACGGCGGCTTGCATCCAAGAGCGTTGCATTACCGCCATCTTCTGAAGTATGCGATGTTATTCCATTTTATTTCCTCTAGCTCAGTGGTTTTCAGCCTGTGGGTCGCGACGGTATTGCAGGGGGGCCGCCAATTACTATTAAAATAAATAATAATATTGTTAAAACATGTAAAAATAGATGTAAAAGAAGTCATAACATAATATCTTAATTTCATATATATATATATAATTAAATAAAAAATAAATACTGTTACTTTGCTTCCACTATTCGAGCTCGCTGATTGGTTTAAGAATAAACCGCCAATTCTAAAATAGTTTTGCTGCATATGCTACAGAACAACAGATTCAAACATGAATGAATGGCTGTCAACAGGGTCGCTGAAAAGAACAAATGCAGATGTCTCTCCATCGACAAGTAAGCCTGACACTGAAAAGACTCCAAATAAATCTAAAAGAAAATACAGTAGTGACTATCTAGTGCTTCACATGTGTGTGGGAGCGGAGAACAAGAAGCTAACGTTACCGCTCTGCGATGTTTGCTCAGAAGTCTTATCAAATGAAGCTTCGAAACCGAGCAAACTACGACGGCACTTGGAGACTAAACACAGTGAATATGTGTCCAAGCCTATTGAGTTTTTTGAGAACCAACTGAAAAAAAACTCTCACATAATTGGTGAAAATTAGATTTGACCTGCCACGACAGAAATGCTTGGCGTGATGTGTGGAGAAAAGGCCGTTAGCGAAAGGCCGTTTTACAGTTGAGAGAAGAATAAATGAAATGGCAGGTGACATAACTCAGAAGTTGGTTAAAAACATTCGATAGAGTCCCTTTTATGCCCTACAGTTGGATGAATCGACCAATATAGCAAACCTTTTCAACCTCATTGCTTATGTACGGTATGTACATAACGGAGAATTACAAGAGGATTTCCTTTTCTGTAAGTCGCTGCCGACTCAATCAACTGCCGAAGCCATGTTTGATATTTTGAATGCATTTATTGTTCATTGCCAGTTCATTCAATAAAGATAGTTAACAAGCTAGCTTCTGAGTACTCCGTTATTAACCCAACAAATAGCGGGGTCAGTTAAGCATATGTGTTTGGTTGTGTGGGCCGCGAGTTGAAAAAGGTTGGGAACCACTGCTCTAGCTTGTTTGCCACAATCATATTTTCCTCATCAAACCCGTTCTACTTAAGAAATTACAAATATGTTACTTTATCTTTGTCTAATCACCTCACTTTGCAGTATGTCTTTAATACCTGTCTCTACCAACCCATCTCTTCTTAATTCTTCCGTCATATTTCTCCTCTGCTCTTCATAACTTCTGCAACTTAAAAGAACATGTTCTATATATGAATAGTTAATTATAACTAGTTATGGTTAATTATTCATATTTCCTGTCATGAGCTGATTCGTTACAATGAGCTGGGGTCCAAATCAGTTGAATCTCATTACATGTTTCCTTTACTCTTGTATATGTTGTTGATATTGCATATAACCTGTCCTGAGACTGTACAGTGCTGACAATGAATCACTTCCAATTCAAACTAATTTTGTCCTCCTTTCTAATCCATCCTAATGCCATCATGATAGCATATAACTCGACTGTATACACGTTCAGATCATTCGTGGTTCGTTTGCTTTCCTCACCTCCTTGATTAACTATAAAAATTGCTGATCCAGTCCTTCCTGTTTCAGGATCTTTTGACCCATCTGTATAAATTTGAATATAGTCTCTGTATTTATCATCCACATATCTGTAGTATTCAGCTACAAGGTCTATACTAGTGTTTATCGTTTTGATTTGATGTAATTCAAAATCAACTTCCATGGTTTCAATCTTCCATACTGGAAAGTCAGGCCATACAATAGTTGGGCAGAACTCTTTTTCGCTCACCCCCAAGTCTCTAGCTGTCTCATCTCCTATCCATCCAAAACTACACGTTGGCGCCCTTTCCTTTTCCCAGCTAGCTTGCAGTACCCTCTTAGTAGGATGTCCATCTCTATGTCCCTTTAAATTAATCCAATAATTTACCAGCAATTGTTTACGTCGAATGTCCAGTGGCATTTCTCCCGCTTCCACTTGTTACGGACACGCTCACGCTGCAGATGACTTTTAGGAAAATCTTAACCGAGGAAAATCGTGTTCTTCCTAAAAGGCATTGGTGAAGTGGGAGCAGGATTATCCGTCGCTTTTATTTCAGATTCCGTGGTCAGATATGAATAAATATGTAATTCCTAATAAAGTCAAATACATTTACTTTAAAGTAATACATAGATATTATCAATGTGATGATTTTATTAGAAGCGTTCTCGCCCTTGTGCTGTTTTTGCAAAGAGGAGTTTTTCAGTTGTAATTACCAAGCTATTTTGGTCCCAAGTTTCTTTTTGAAATGTTTTACAAGTCTGTCACTATAACTGATATAATGGTCTTGTTTATGGATTGTCGATTAGTTGAAATACTGGTCGATTAGAAACGGACAATATAATTAAAAATCTTGTTTTATTTGGGAAATATCACATACACAAAGCAAAATGTATGTTAACTGTACCAAATGGTAGACTATTTTCCATTGATTTAAAGGTTTTTTTTATGATTCTCTAACTTCAATACAGAACAATCGTAAAGCTGTTAAGACATCTCAACTACTGAAGAGGATACTTGATGTATTAGATATATAGTTGAGCTTTGACATTTTGGTGAACTGTTTTATAGACTCATGTATTTTTGTACTACTTGTATTCCCCTATTGTTATTTCAAATAATAATAATAATAAAAAAATGTAAAAAACGCTGCAGATGAAGCCTTATTCTGGCTTTGTAAGTAATTTTATCATAAGTTATGTTTCGTCCTATAATGTAAATTACCTAAATTCTTAAAGGGGTGGTTCAGTGTTTTTTTTCTAGGCTTGATTGTGTTTATGGGGTGCAGTCTAACATGTGTTAATGCTTAGTTTAAAAAAAAAACGCATTACTTTTCACATCATTTACCTTTATTCCACACCGCTCTGTCCCTTCTCTGAGAAACACCCTGATCATTTCCTTCTTTTATGAAGCCCCTCCCTCAGAAATAGGTGATGGGCTCTGTGTTGTGATTGGCTAAACCGCCTCTAGTGCGTGTCTAAACGTCCCGCCCCGCACCTCAGCGGCATGTTCTCCGGTTGTATTGTAAACAACGGCATCTTTAATATTGCTTATCAGTTTGAGCCCGATTGAGAAGCAGAGGATATTATTGAAGAGTTGTTGGAGCTGAGCTGAATGAGAGAGAGAGAGAGAGAGAGATGCTGAGCGTGTGCAGAGCAGGGGGACATGAGGAACAGTATTAAGAACCGCTGCTTTAGAACATTGATTTTGAAACTTGTGAATCCATTAGAATCGTTAGAAGACAGAATCATGATTCATATATTAATATATTTTTACGTGCACCTCTAGCTTTCTCTTCCTCTTCTCTAAAGCAGCGCAGCATGGCCCCGCCCCCTTTGTTGCCTCTTCCCGAGGGCGGGGTTTATCTGGGTTTGTGATGTCACGAACCCGGGAAGTAGCTCGTTGTAGTCCCTACCAGCCGTTTTTGTAGGCTTTAAACTGCCAGAATTTTAAAAGACAATATCTCCGTTTGCATTGAACTTTCAGCTTCGTAACTTTGCAGATATTGTTTATGTTCAAACAGCAACATTACACACTAACTAATGTTAAAAAAGTGAAATCACAATCAACCACCCCTTTAAGCTAAATGTGTATACATACTTTAACAGAAACTGCAGATGGCTCTACAAAATTAGATCAGTCTATCAGCGCACAGGACACACTGAAAAAACTCTTCACTTTTGGGATGATTTCACATGTAATCTTGTTATACTGTATATGAATACAGCATATATGGGTGTTTTCAGTAGTATCTGGAGCCTTTCTCTCATGCAGATTACATCTGTAACTAGATTACAGGCACACTGGTACGGATTGATTCACCCAGAATCTGTGTGAGTAATAGAGAGACCGGTCACCCTTTTTACACCAATATTTGTAAAAAGGGTTATATAGTGGGGCATGTTGTCACACAGTATGGGAAATATGAAACAATCTACAAAAAGCCACTTTTCACAACACATCTGTTTTTAAAATGAATTATGGATGATTTAATGGCAAAATTTAAGGAGTAAAACAAACATAATTGATGAATCCGCACAATATAGAGGCATAAAAAGTTTTGCCCAATAGAAATGATAAAAATTGTACCGTGTGCTTGTACTAGCAATTAATTAAAAACAAAATAATTTGTGCAGTTTATAAATTAAAATGTATAAATTATATTACCTACACATAGCATATAATGTGACAACTTGCACCAACATGTGACATTTATAACATTCCGAATTCAACCTTTCTTCATAGTTCAAAGTTCTAATAAAAAAAGTGCCAAGTAGAATTTCTGATTATAAATCATGGAAGCTACACAATAAAAAGTTCCATAGCTATTATATAACTTATGATTTAAAAATACCTTTAAAGTCATTCTAGAGCACAGAAGAAGTGCCCTAACTGAAGAATCACCCATATAGGTTATAATGTCTCTAAATGTTTAATTTCCAACTAATCATCAGCACTCCACATGTTTACAAAGGATGACAAAAAACCCTTTTCACTTCCACTGAAGAGAAGAATACTGGCGTCAGGCCTCAAATCCAGCCCATCACCTCCCACCCATTCTCCATGACCTCTAATTATGTCATGCGAAAAGAGCCATGTCCCATTGAAAACCTTGCTTAATCAAACCCAATTAATTCCGCTCGCTTCCCGTATTATCCCCTTCGAGGAACGCGTCATCCCCATCAGCCTGTTAACTTCAGCCTGCGCCGTGTCGAGGGAGCAAAATAGTAGATTATGCAATTAATGTAGTCGTTAGAGACTTAATT